TGTCCATTAGCATCTACTGCCACGGCTATCAATAGCTTGATATCGTACTTTCCATAGACATGAGTGTCGTTTATGGATATTACGGGCCGACAATGCGAAAAACCATCAATTGTTGGTTTAAACGCCCAGAACACGTAATTGAATGTATATTCTGGTTTACCCGGACTCCGCTCAAGCTTTCATTCAACAACCGTCCCGGGGTTAAAGTGCTGCAATGTGGCCATGTACCTGGGCAGAGCTGCAAATGACTTATCCCAGTTACCATAGACTATTTCAAACGCTCGTTTGCGCCCGAGATATGCCTTTCTTTTGGTAATGGTATGGCCATATTCCTGGTAGACTGATGTAATGCACTCTTTGATTTTATACCTTATGGACGCTTCGATGTGTGGAATAAGGACAAGAGAAATCAAGTCAATATCCAAGTTGAAGTGATTCACGTTGAATGTGTCCATTTCGCATGTATGGGTGGGAATGTATTTACCCACTTTCCACAGACATGTCTTCTTCTTGCTCGCACGCAACATCCAATGACATGGCCAAACCCACATGCGACAAACAACCTTGTATACAACCGCTTGACTCTCATACCGTCATCTCACGATACTTTTTTACGTTGTGCATTTTACAAGCCCTGCTTACGCGTGCTTTATCAGGAAAAAGCATGCCCTTTGCCAGCACCGTTGGTCTAGACTCATCCCACATTGCTGTCCGAATTTCATCAAAATCCCTTGTGAGAGCTTCCACATCCGGCATGCTTGGCAAGTTATCAAGGTAAGGAATCTCCCTTGAATGAAACGACACTTGAGACTCGTACACACTTCGTCTGGGGGGTGGAGCATACTCTTTGGTCGAATCAGGTCCTTCCTTATCATCCTCCTCATCACCATCCTCACGAGAAAAGGGTGTCTCGTCTCCAGATTCATCAGCATTGTTGTCGTAATCACTATTCTCTTCCTCACTCAGTGCATCTGCCAGATCCTGATTTAACACGTCGTCTTCGGGCAATTGAGTGAGTACATATGGTTCAACTTGCTTGTTTTTACCGCACAATCAACAAAATAATAAGCTACTGAAATTAATAAATACTTTCCATATAGTTGTATCACTTCACTTACAAGTCGTAATGTGATGAAATTCCATGATGGACATTTTCATTTAGGTGATGACTACCGGATGGACCATCATGATCCAACACACCAAAACTATGCTTGGGTTCATAATTTGTAAAATCTATATCCGGTCGGTACCCCCTGTTAAATGTATGAGCGCTAATACAAATTCAATACAACAAAAATGTACATCGTAACACAAAGAAAAATTAAAGTTTACCACTCGGCTTGTGAATTATGAAAAGCAGGCGGTGATAAGTTTAAATCAAGGAAAACTCTTTCATCCGGAACTTGTCCGGCAAAAACTGCTCCAGAATAACCACCCGATGACTGGGGGTTATCCGGAACCTATCTGGCAACCTCATTGTTGGGAACGTCTTCGACCTTGACGTACATATCCAACATTTTGATTACAAGAAATTCCCGGTATTCATCCGGAGTCCTCAAAAAATCCCTCAAAGTTTTATCATCGTAGATGTTTAACTCAAAGTAAAAAGCAGCCCCTTGCGGAGTGACGAAATACGGATATCTTCCGGTTACTTTAAGTATCACTCGGTGTTTCCTCACACTCATTTTTTTGCATAACAACGATATCAATTTATCGTATTCCATTGTAAGTGGTAATTTAACATGACTCCGTGGAGATAAAATATACCTCACTGTGTTATTCTCCATCACAACCTCACCTTCCCCCCCCAATATAATGAAACTCTTATTCTACGCTCTTCAGACATTACGGAAAAATGCTTGAGAATTTAACAAGTAGAAAAGATTGAATGGGAGTTAGAATTTTTTGTGAATGGATTTTCCTAAAATCCTAACTCTTTTATATAGGAAAGTGCGAGCCCGGGGTTGATACATTCACTTATTGGTGGGCCCATAATAAGGGGTATAACGTGTTGTATTTGTACGTTATATATAGCGTAAAAATACAACGCGTTATATCTGTGTCAGTCAAATGTCAGTATATATTACGTCAAACACACCACGCTATACTTTAACGGTACCGTTAAGGTATAACGTGGTTTGTTTTGGCGTTATATATATAAAGGTAACTTTTTTTTACACTTATTTACGCATTTTTTGTCCAAAAAGACAATAAAAAGGTTCCAAACTCGGTATATGTGTTACTTTGTTTACCCTGCAGCTTTCTCATTATTGTTGAACTACACAAGTGTATGATTTAATTCACTTCATTTTACGTGACACAGTTTGCATTTAACTGTATTGAACAAAGAATTCAAAAAAGAATGTACCCATTTATCCAAAGGACCAAAAAGAATAATATAAAAATAATTCAAACTACTTAATGGCTTCTAGGTAATCAACTTTACCATTTCATATTTGAAACAGATCAACAACTGTAATAGCAAGAATAAAGTACTGGTAAATATTGAAAAAAAGATAGCAACTCGATATCCAAGAAGTGTGAACAATGTCATGTAAAATGCAACAAAAGACGTATAGCAAAAATCCCCATTTCTCCATTTTCACCGTAATAACATCCTTTTTTTTTTTTTTTAAATTCTTGTTTGTCTTATATCTATCGGAATTTAAGTTTATGTATTGACTACTTAATAAGGATATATACACAGTCACCTCACTTCTAAGATAATTACCAATAACTTTTTTTTTTCTCGAAAAAATTCTGATAATACAAATAAAAATAGTATTAACTATACGGATAGTGTAAAAATATAACTAATTCCTAAAAGGTCGTTTGGTAAAGTGCATTAGAAAAAATAATGCATGCATTAGCTTTGTGTATTAATAATATCTTGTTTGGTACAATTTTTCTACCTATTAGTTACACATTCTATTTGATATTATCCTATTTATAATAATGCATCGCAAACCATAGTATTAGCAATACCAAAATTATTAATACATACATAAGCTTAGTTAAAGATATAATTGCCCCTCAAATCCCTCAAAACCTTTTCCAAATACTTTTTGGTCATATTTTGTATATTTTTATATTGTGATATTTTAATTATTTTTTCCCTTTAGCATTCTACTATAATAAATAAAAAAAATCATATTTAATAAAATTTGATTTTGAATTCGTTCAAATTATAAACTAAAGTTTTCTTTATTTGTTAAAGATCTATGTATTTTTTTAATAATTGGCATTTTGTATTATATGTATAGCAATTGAATTTTTTTTTCTCTTTTAACTTTAATATTTTAATTAGTTTTTTCTTTTAGTTTTGCTCTCCTATACAAAAAAAAGTTACTTTAGAGAGAATAAACAATGTGGAGGATAATAAAACTATTGCAATAAAAATAGTGTACAAAGTTAAAGAATGTGAAGGATATTTTTGTAAGCAATCAATTTTTTTAGGCTGAATACATACAGAGACACTTAAAGTTGGCACGATTTTTCATTTAGACACCTGAACTTAAGGGTGTTCCTATTGAGCACTTATACTACCCGAAACTTATTCCAATTGAGCACTTCTTTGATAATCAGCCAACTTACAAAGTTTGTGCAATGCACTCGCTGCTGGCGTGACGAATGACGAACAAAAAAAGACATACATTATTTTGAGTAAAAGAAAAGGAAAAACTATGTTAAATCTATTTAATAAACAAATAATCAGTGATCTTTGTGTTCTTCACTATTTTCATGTGTGTTCTTGTTCCAAGCACGATTTTAATCCAAATTTTTAAGAGAAACTCCTCCAAATTTGTTATAACTTCATCTAAAGATTCCCCGCGACGACCCGAAGACAATCCCAATATTAATTTTCCAAACTTTCATCAAATCAAGTAACCCATTTTAAACCTTCAAGCTTTTTAAAGACCCCATTAATGGTGGCTTTCATTTAGTCGCAGTCTCTGCAACAAGATTTCAACAATTTCTTGCTTGAACCCTCAAATCCCTCCAAAAGCTTCTCCTCTTCCACATGATTCTCACTCGCCCAGATGATATCATTAAACCGGACGGAATAATCCACGGAATAGAACGCGTCTTGATACCCAATTCAGTGCAACAAAATTTCAACAATTTCATCCTTTTTCATTTCAGTTTTAATCAATGGTGGAGAGAAAGAAGGGGGTGCGGTTGCTTCTCTCCGGCTAGCGATGACCTGAGCAAGATGAAGAGGCGGCTGGGTTGGAGTTCTGGCGGCTATGGTCTTGCAGATGGGTTGTTAGCCTCCGGCGATGAAGTCCAGCGGCAGCGTGGTGGTCAGAAATCTCTTAGAGCAGCCTGGTTTGTTGCGGCGGCGGCTGGAGATGAGGAGATGGGGTGCGGCTGGTTTCTTAGAGTTGAAGAAGAAGAGGGGGGCTCGTTGGTTTTTTGGGGAGGATGAGGCTGCCGGTTTCTCTCGCCGGATTCCGACAGTGAAGAGACAACTGGCAGATCTGTTTTGTTTTTGAGGGAGTAGAAGAAGGAAATAAAAAAAAATCTATTTTTTGGGTCTTCACGCGCCTATATCGGGTGAAACTAACTTTATGTGTCAACTCAGCAAGAAGTGCTTAATTGGAATAGGTTTCGAAGTAGTATAAGTGCTCAATAAGAACACCCTTGAGTTTAGGTGTCTAAATGAAAAATCGTGTCAATTTTAAGTGTCTCCATATGTATTCAGCCATTTTTAAAAAAATTATGCATGCTTTAATGCACCAAACCAAATAATTGTAAGAAATAATCTCAGCATAACTAATCCAAACAATATTAATACATTATATTCAACACTATTCATATACCTCCTACCAAATGGCCCCTAGGTATTTTACTACCCTAGACTAGATGGCACGATAGAAATCTAGTAATACAAGCATACAAAACAAAACTGTACACGTCCGCATATATTATATATAGCACGCACATCCACAGTTTTGATAAACAGGCCAAAAGAATCAAAACCATAAAACTTCAATCAATTTTGTAAAAGATGCAAGAATATTTTCCATTAATTCTCAAAATTGTTCCGCCCCACCCTAACCAAAATTTCCACAATCTACCCCTCAACCAAACTCTAGATAATTGAGTGGAGTTCACTCCTAATTAGAAACAAAGGATTACAACAGAGGAAGAAACCATGAACCCATAAATGAAAATCAAGAACCCAAAATGCAAAGCCCAATTCCTCTTAAACTTACCAAAATAACTCTCTGGTGGTTCTTGATAATGTATCTCAAATTCATCCCCAATTTCCTCAACCCCACCATTCCCAATTCTCATCTTCAATTGCCTTAGCCTTTCAGTAGCCAAACCCAATGTCAGCTTATGACATCTCCTTTGGTACTTAAACCCATTAATGCATCTCAAAGTTTGAGCCACAGATACATAAAAAATCAGATGGGCTAAAGAAAGAAGCCCAATGGGTATCCAACAATGGCGGCATTGGAGCTTAGGGGAAAGAGCTTGACCCAAAAAGACTAAAGCCAAGAAAAGGAAGAACAGCTGAAACATTCTCCAAAGTTCTTTTTTTTGTAAGTCTACGGCTCTTTTTTTCTCGAGGGTTTTTTCGAAATGGAGTTGGATTATGGTGTTGATAGCTTGTAGAGCTGTTTCTTTTTGGATGAGATTTGGGTGGTGGTTGGTGGTGGTTACGGCGTCGTATTCCGCCATTGGAGAGTGTGGAGAAGAAGCTTTGGAAGAGTTAAAAAAGAGAAATGGGGATTTTGGAGTTAAATGGTGTGGGGGTGAGAGAGTATACTGAGGTAGGGCATGTGAGGGATAGTTAGAATATCTAGGTATAATTTGATACTGATATTTCTGCTTATTGGTGCAACGGTAGGGAAATGTGGGGTCCATGCTGTATTGGATTCGGAAGAATTTGTAACTTTTGCAGGGAAGTGGTGAAAATTTTAAGAGTAATTTTTTCCCCTGATTTCTAACTATACAAATTTATATGGTTTATTTTAGATCATATTCAAAAGTGTTCCTTTATTTCTTAAACATCATGCTTTCATATAAATTGAGACAGATGGAATAATAGGTATTTGTTAAAAAAAGTTAACCATTCGAATCAATACTAAAGTATTACCATTAAAGTAAGATAGTATAAAAGAATTTTTATGCTATTAGGTCAGGTCAGATAAATAAAAATTATAGATATCCATGAATAAAAATAAAATTAATAATACTAAAATATAAGTTAGGTTACTTGCTAGATAAAAATATACTGATATTGAAAAAAAATTAAATTGTAAAGGCAAATAAGGTAAATCTTAGTCCTAAAATAATGAATCCATATTAAAATGAAAAAATGACTATTAGAAATATTAACCAAACGTTCCTTGGTCGACTTCTGAGAAAAGAAAAGTATTTTACCATTCCATGGCAATGGGAAGATTACATTACGATTAGACTTTAATTATTTGACAAATCAATTAATCACATTGGAAAATATTACAATTCGACCGGATTGTTTACTCCGGTGTGCATGTGCAAGTTGTAAATTAACGAGTTATCCATATAAATACATGTTAAAAGAAACAAAGTTATCCATATAAATACAGAACTCACCTTTCTCTGCCCTTTCTTTTTGCTGTGATTCTCGGATCAATATGAAGATTATTTGGGAGGAAAAACAACTCTATTTCACAAGAATAGAATTATAGAGAATTTACACCAAGAATTTCTCTCTACCAAAAACCTCACCAAACTCTCTTTTTGTTCTTACAATCTCTTCATGCATTGTATTTCAATCTCTCTGGATTGATTTTTCTGTGTAAAACATAAGGCTCTATTTATAGCCTTAAAGAAGGTGGTTGGTGGTTGAATTCTTCATTCAACAATGGAGGCTTCAATAATGGTGGCTTCTAGAATGGGTTGATTGCTTCAACAATGGTGGGCTTCTAGATTGGTAGTTGGCAGCAGCTGAACTTATCAATTCTCCCCCTTCAGCTGCATTCCAACACGGCTAGTATTTGAAAGTTATTCCAACTATGTCTCTGCACAGCTCTAACTTTTCTTGAGTGACCGGATTCTCCTTCGTATGGATCTTCACTAGTTTCAACAGTTATTGATCCATCACCTCGCGTATCCAGTGATAGCGAATGTCGATGTGCTTTGTCCGAGAATGATACATTGAGTTTTTGCTTAAATCAATTGCACTTTGACTATCACAATGTATCTTATACTCTGTTTGATTTATCCCTAGTTCTTGGAGAAACCGCTTTAGCCACAACATTTCTTTTCCAGCTTCCGCTACAGCAATATACTCTGCTTCAGTTGTGGATAGTGCAACACACTTCTGCAATCTTGACTGCCATGACACAGCTCCCCCTGCAAAAGTATAAACATATCCTGAGGTTGATTTTCTTCCATCAGGATCTCCGGCCATATCTGAATCTGTATAGCCTTCCAAGACTGGATCAGCTCCCCCAAAGCACAGACTTGATTTTGACGTACCTTTAAGATACCTGAGAATCCACTTAACTGCCTCTCAATGTTTCTTTCCAGGGATAGAAAGAAAACGACTTACCACACCTACCGCATGTGCGATATCTGGCCTCGTGCAAACCATGG